ATATTGGCTATTGCAATGTTTAGTCGTTACAGTAATAGTATTAGTCCAGGGCAAGCTACAGAAACCTAAAAAGAAAACTTAAATATGCATCGGTCCAATGTTTTTAATAAGTATTTCTGCGGTCTTTCACATGATTAGAATATCAAATTTTTTTCCTAACTGGAAAATACTTTTCCTCCTCATTTTTCATTGTACCTTTGTTCAGGGTCCTTTTCCATATAGTTGTTTCAATTTTTTAGTGTGTTTATGTGATCAATTGTGTTCATGATCATTCTCAGGTCTTATTCCCTACAGAGCTCCCTCTGCCATGTAACATTCCACAAACGTGCCCTTAAATCATCTTCTGGTACGTTAAAATTTTTGTGTACTTGTAATTAATTTTGGTGAGAAAGGACCCTGGATTCTAACTTTGTTCTTTCTCCAAAGTCTTAGGTGTCCCCAAACTCTTTACTGGGTAATTCTTATTTGTCCCCTGAGTTGCAATGTCATCTTCATCAAATTCTAAATCTCTATCTGGGTCTCTTCTTGAGCATTTGTTCAAATGGCTAATATAGGTTCATTGATTCCAGGATGGCCTCTCTGAGGAAATTATTTGACAAATCCAATAGGGAAGGTGGGGAACATGGTGAGGAGAAAGAGAGGCAGAAACACTCTTACAGAAGAATCCTTTTGGAATGCTTAAGGAAGGCTCAGAGGAGTGTCTACCAGGTGACCTTTCAGAGGCATCTGTGGTTCTCCAAGTCTCATGCCAGCCGTGAGGACCCCATGCTGTGGGGTCTGGCATTAAGGACAGAGACCCAGTGAGGTGGGAGAGCCAGCTACCACTGTGACGTAGTAACTCTCCGAATCCTTTTCTGAGTTGGGTTTTCTTGACATCTCCACACTTGGGCTCTGTGCGCTGAGGGACCCCACCAGCAAGGCGGGAGAGAGGGCAGAAGGTTCCTTCCGGGTCTGGAGGTGATAATGTCAAGACTGGAGAAGGGGTTCCCAGGCTCTAGGTTACCTGAGACCATCAGAAGTGACCTGTCTACCCCATGGTCACCTTTAAAAATGGTGGCATGTACCCAGACCCTAGAGTTTGCCTTCAGAAAACACACAGTCGGGGACGCCTGGGTGGCTCAGTTGGTTAAGCAGCTGCCTTCGGCTCAGGTCATGATCCCAGCGTCCTGGGATCGAGTCCCACATCGGGCTCCTTGCTCATCAGGGAGCCTGCTTCTCCCTCTGCCTCTGCCTGCCATTCTGTCTGCCTGTGCTTGCTCTCTCTCCCTCTCTCTCTCTGACAAATAAATAAATAAAATCTTAAAAAAAAAAAAAAAAAAAGAAAACACACAGTCCCAGGTACCTGCAGGGGACAGCTGGGTTCTCTGCTTCCTTCTCCCATGATGTGAATGGAAGTCTCTTGGCCTTCCCCAACTTCATCCAATAAGTAACTACAAATCACCCAAATCACCCTGCATTTCTGAGTTTATTGCTTGAAACCCACTGACACTTCTTAGTTGGAGCATTTCGGTTTTCAGTGGCCAAATGCAGCGCTGACTAGCTGGGGGCAGGTGGGGCTCACTGGAGAAAAGACTGCACGTGCCCCGACGTGCTTGCTCAGTGGAGGCAGCAGCAGAGCACTGATGCGCACGAGCGGGTGGAGAAGCCACCTAAGGCCAAGGAAAGGACCGTCTTCAAGAATGAAGTGTGTCTCTACCCAACACTCACGCCAGACAGCAAGTATTGTCTAACTCCACCAACCAGGAGGGCAACCTGCATTATTCAGGAGGCACCGGGCAGGGCACTCAGAAAGGTCTGGCCTCAGTGGTGTGGGGGTGGGGGGGATGAATCCTACACTGAACTCCTCTGGTCCCGTGCAGGAAACCTTCAAAGCAAGACTCAAACAGATCAAACTGTTTCCATTCACTTTTTTAAAGATTTTATTTATTTTGGAGAGCACACAAACCGGGGGCGGCATGGGGAGTGGGAGGGGCCTGTGGGGGCAAGCAGAGAGGGAGAAGCAATGCGGGGCTCCATCCCAGGACCCTGAGATCATGACCTGAGCCGAAGGTAGACGCTTAACCGACTGGGACACCCAGCACCGCAAACTGTTATCATTCACTTAACAGCATTCCTGAACAAAGCTCATGAATGTGTTTAGGAATACAAAGTTAGGCAGAACCTAAGGGAAAATCATAACGTCTGGTATCCATTCCAAAATGATCAGGCATGCAGAGAAGCAGGAGACTCCAACCCATAACGAGGAGAGAAATCAAGCAATAAAAGGCATTCAGACTGGAAAGAAAGAGGAAAAACTGCCTTTATTTGCAGATATGATCACCAATACAGAAAATGTAATGGAGTCTACGAAAGAACCACTAGACTTATTAGGGAGCTTAGCGGGTTTTCAAGATACAGCACGTTTTAGAGAGAAGTTTAAGAACATGTACAAATTAAAAATAAGAGGCATAGGGGTGGGGCCCCTGGGTGGCTCAGTGGGTTAAGTGTCTGCCTTTGGCTCAGGTCATGATCTCAGGGTCCTGAGATCAAGGCACACGTCAGGATCCCTGCTCTGCGGGGAGCCTTCCTCTCCTCTCCCTCTCCCCCTGCTTGTATTCCCTCTCTCGCTGTGTCTCTCTCTGTCAAAAATAAATAAATAAAATCTTTTTAAAAAACCCACACAACTGTTTTTCTTCTACCTTTGTGGAGAAATTTTCTGGATTGGCAGAAGATTTGGTTCTATTTCTTCTCAGCTACTGAAAGTACCTGAAGAGAGCTTTCTTCATAGTTGAGGAGAGTGTGCAGGGAGGGGAAAACGCAGATACCACCATCATACCCTCTATTTCAAAGAGGGTCAAAGGATACCAAAGGGCCTGGGAGTATAGAGAAACCCCTAGAAAGCCAGGATTGCAATTCTTACCAACCTTGTCCTCTCCTCAATTCTCATCTACTTTTCCTGCATTTATCCTTTTCTGCATTTTTCATTAGTCACATGGATGCTCCCTGGGGCCAGCAGAAGGAAAAGCATGATCCCAGCCTCCCAGTGCTGTGGTTAGCGTGATACCTTGGCTAAGAGAGTGGGAGCTTGACTCGAGTACACCCAGCCTCTCTGAGCCCCAATTCTTCACCTACAAAAGGTGTAATCAGGATGGCGCTGACATCGCCAGCTTGCGGTGAGAATTACAGACAGTAATGGGGGTCGAGAGCACAGTGGAGTGTCTGCTCACAGAAGAGTCTGGTTTTCACTGTATTTTCCGTCACTGGTCCTGGCAGCCACAGCAGGCTGCAGGGGGCTGAATGTGGCCAGCCCAGCAGGGAGCGCCATCAGCAGGCTAGCAGCCTCCCACTCGGTGGTCGCACGAGCCCACGAAGTGTCCTGAAGAGTGAAGGCCCTGCTCTCCTGAGTCCTGCCAGCCGGTGTGACCCTCCACGGTTTGCCACGACCCAGCGCAAGAACTTCTGCCGGCCAGGAGAGAAGACGCCTCCTGGGGGCAGCCTGTGCACTGATGGCAATCTTGAACTGTGCCACATTCAGATCAACGAGAGCTTTGCAGAAATGGGCGGGAGCGAGAACAAGTGCAAGGTGGTTGCGGGCATCACCGCGGTCCTCCTCGGCTCAGCCGCGCTCATCCTGATCTGGGAGAAGCACTGAGTGTACCGCAGACCTCGGAGGAGGAGTGGGGGTCCGAGCAGACTGAGACGGTGCTCGACACGAAGGTCAGCCCGACCCATAGCTTCTCAGCCAAGTGGGACGACGGTAAGAACACGTGGAAGAGAGCGGCACCCCTCACGACCCCACCAGAGCCCTGCCTGCCTGCGGCCTCCAGTAAGGACACTGGCAACTGTCAGGTTGCAGAACCGAGGCTCGCAAATGAGCAGTTCACGTGAAAAAAAGTGTTTTCCCAAGACTCCACTACGCTGCCTCCATCTGCCCCTCTCCCACCCCAACAAACTGTACCCGCACTTTTCTTCTGTGATCAGAAACAACGCCAGTAAAGCACAAAATTCTAGTTCTAGTGTTTCCAAATTCTTTGCTTGTGCAAACTGAGGTTTGGGGGGCTGTGACAGGGATGTAGGGGAACTAGCATTCTGGTAGGGTGGGCGCATTTTCTGAAGAGCAATTTTGTATTGGAGATCTACCTCTTGGAATCTATCTTAAGAAAACAACCATTCAGGCGCACCTAGGTGGCTCAGTGGGCTAAAGCCTCTGCCTTCGGCTTGGGTCATGGTCAGTCCAGGGGTCCTGGGATTGAGCCCCACATCGGGCTCTCTGCTCAGCGGGGAGCCTGCTTCCCTCTCTCCCTGCCTGCCTCTCTGCCTACTTGTGATCTCTCTCTCTGTGTCAAATAAATAAATAAAATCTTTATCAAAAAAAGAAAATAACCATTCATACAGAGACTTACATACAAGAATTCCTCTGAGACATTATGTATAATAGGAAAAAATTTGAGAAAAATACAAGTGTTGAACCAATATATCATAACACATACTGTATGTATTTATTTGATAAGATGTTTTTGAAGTTTTAGACAGAGGTAAAGCCCAAATTTCAGATGAAAAATATCTCAGGGGGAAAAAATGATGCTAAATTTGAAAAGCCTTACTCATTTATATGACGCTATAAATTTATTGTATTATTCCTACAACCGTAAAATTACAAAAGTATTCCAAAATACTGACATTAGTCAATGCTGAATGATAGGAACCAAGCAATTTTCATTTTCTTTCATTTTTTCAATGTTTTCAACTGCCTTGTACAAGTTGAATATCTGAATCCCAGAACCTCCCCTCCAACCTGAGGACAAATCTGGACGCTGAAAAGAAACTCAGACACGTAACAGTGCTTCAGTTTTATTATCTGTGGCAACCAATATTTAAGGCCAATGAAAACAAACAAGTGAGCAGCGAGTACCGCAGGGCCAGTATGGCCAACAATTATGCTCCAAAACAAAGTGGCAACTACTGAAAAATCATGCGCCTGGGGAAGGACACACTGCCTAAAACGGGGCTCTCTTGTGAACTCAGCCCCCTTTTCCAGGCCGAGGCTTGGCAAAAAACGGGGGCACAAAGTGCTGCATGGTCTGAATTATGGTGGAAAGCTGGTTGAGCAGGGTGGCAGTGGAAATCTGCAGGAGGGTAGAGTCCTCGGCAGTGAGTTTGCTAAAAGTGAGGGGAAAAGGAAATAACTTTAGATTTGGTTAACGAACTCCCAGCCCCCATCAGTGCAAAACCCCTCCCCAAGGTTACTCCTTCCCAGCTCCCTTACAGCCACGCCTGAGGATGCAAGAGACCCTGTGCCCCACATGCCTCTTTAGCCCAAGCCTTCGGTGTTTGCGCATGTCCCAAAGACCGACCCTCATGCTGAGACTGGCCCAGGTTCCCACCTGCTCCCCCGAGCCCCTTCTAGAACTTACATCAGCAGGTCACTGCCAATCACTGCGAGCTCCATCTGAGCGGCCCCCTGGAAGGATTCCTCGCCTGAAATCAGGTACTGGCGGGCCATCTCCGCATCCACGTAGCACAGGAAAGGCACCCTGAGGGCGCTGGTGGAGATCCGGTTAAGGCAGCATCTTTGCGGACTTTAGGGCTGAGGCCGCCCCACCCACCGGAAGCCTGCCTTCCCCCAGACTGCCCCTCGGGCCCCCAAGACCACCTGGGGGGCTTCAGGAAGTCTGCCTCACAACCCCCCTCAGACCACCCCGGCTTTCTCTCCAGCTCCTCCTCCCCCGCCGCCCCACTCCCCTCCTGCCCCAACTCCGCAAGTCCCCCGCCCACACTCCCCCTAACCCCTCCTACCGATCCTTCTGCCCCCACCTCCTGCGCACTCCCTGCCCCCCTCCCAGTCCCGGGGGCTCCTTCGAAAGGATACAACTCCAACAGCTGGCTTCCTGAGGCTTCGCCCGAGGCCAAGGCTGAAGCATCTTCACCGTTCCTAGGGGCAGGCGACGCCCCCTCGAGCTCGGAAGCTCCCCCAGCCACTGTGCCCTCAGCTGCGGTCCCATCACAGCCTTCGGGTTCTCCGGGGCCTCCGGGGCCCTCAGGCGCTCCGGCACCACCCTCGGCACCCCCCGCACCATCGTCTGGGGCCTGCATGGCTGCTCCGACTGCCTTCTTCGAGCCCAACCCTGCCACTGAGGCTCCCGCCTGAAGCTCCGCCCCTCCGCGCGCAAGGCTGCTGGGGACGCCCAGGGCGCATGTGCAGACAGACCTCACGTATGGCTTCTCGCATGTGATTGGTTCCCGCCAAGCCGACCCTGCCTGCGCGGGAAAGCAGGCTCCCTCAGGAAGCCCCGCCCCTAGCACGCGAGGCAACTCAGGTTCCCTACTGCGCCTGTGCAAACAGGCTCCTCCTATCCTTGACTGAGAGGCTGGAGAGGAAGCATGTGGTTGGAGGAAGTGGGAATAGTCCAGATGAAGGGGTAGAGAAAAAAGGGGCAAATGTGGCAGGGGGAATAGGGTCAAGACATGGCTGATTTAGCCTTCTGGGGACACTCGACACCATGGTTTGGACTTGGAGAGGTGTGTACTGAGGGAAAGACTGTCAATGGCCTTGTGGTCCCTCTGTGTATCTCAGTTGCCCCATCAGTAAATGGCGAGGGGACAGTGGCAAGCTGGGAGAAAGTGGATCATATCAAAAAGTCTCTTGTCAGTCTCAGACTTTTAAGATTCTAAGAATAACAACATTTCTAAGTTACAAGAGCTATTTATAGGTTCTGGACACAAGTCTCTAATCAAACATGATTTTAAAATATTTTCATCCATTTTGTGGGTTGTGTTCTCAATTTCTTGATTAGTATTATTTGCAGAACAAAAGTTTTTAATTTTGATGTAGTCAATTATTTTTTTTTTAATTTTGTTTATTTATTTGACAGACAGAGATCACAAGTAGGCAGAGAGAGAGAGGAAGGGAAGCAGGCTCCCTGCTGAGCAGAGAGCCCTATGCGGGCCTCAATCCCAGAACCCTGACACCATGACCTGACCTGAAGGCAGAGGCTTTAACCCACTGAGCCACCCAGGCACCCCGATGTAGCCAATTTTATTTTCTTCTTGGTCACTTATATTTTTGGTCCCCATTCTATACAGAGAAAGATTGATACTCTGCAATATACAATCCCACTGGGCAGTGACTTGTGTAGAAAAGCAATCACCATATGCATGCTGAGGTCACGCTCCTAAGAGCAGATGGCTCATGACGTGTGATAGCTAATTCTATGTATCAGCTTGCCTGGTCACAGGCACCCCAAGTACACAATGTTTCTGGGAGTGTCTGTGAGGGTGTTTCCATATAGGATTAGCATTTGAATCTGTGGATTCAGTAAAGTAGACCCCCAGTTTTGGGTAGACATTATCCAATCCCTGAGAGCCTGCATAAAACAAAAGGTGGAGGAAGGAGGAATTTGCCCTTCCCCCCTTTCCTCTCTCTCACTGTTGAGCTGTGATATCTCATCTCTTCTCATCTTCTCAAGCCCCCCCTTGGACTGAGATTTACACCACTTCCCCCTCCCTTGGTTCTCATACCTTCAGACTCAGGCTGAATTACACCACCAGCTTTCATGGGTCTCCAGCTTGCAGGCCAGGTCATGGCATCCCTCAGCTTCCATAATCAATCTACATCTATCTATCTACCTATCTATGGGACCCCTCAGCTTCCACAATCTATCTATCTATCTATGAATGAATGAATTGGCTGTTGGTTTTCTTGGTCCTACTTCTCTGGAAAACCCTGACTAATACAGATTTGGTACAAGGAGGAGTTCCAAAGGAACAGGATTTTAGAGATGAGTTCTCTGAATTGGCTCTCAGGTTTCTGGAATTGACTTTCCAATCTGATTAGATTTAAAGATGCTCATGTCTGTTTCTAGTGGTAAAGAGAACACTGATAGCCCATGGCATAAACCGATAGAGATAAGCAAAATATCTGCATTGGATACTCCTAATCAACCACATAGAAGGAACAAGGAGCCAGGTGACTCTGTATATATTTTTGAACATTTTTTTAGAAAACTCACAAATACAGTGATGTCGGTGGGTAGCTCCTAATGTGGCTGGACAATGTGGTGAAAGGAAAGGATGAGCTCGGGGATTTGAATTCCCGGCTCAAACACCACATAACTGGCTTAAGAGCTCCTGTGTGTGCCCTGAAAGAAACACTTATGTTCTACAGCCACAGAGCCAAAATTGCTGGAAATTCAAATGCAGAACCTCATGTGCAACTACCTGAATTACAATGCAAGCTGAACCTCCAGACTTGAAGGGTGCCCACAGTTAAACTGAGGCCGTAGACTGGGAAAGAAGGGGATCATACAAATTAAGATGGAGAGGACATGTGGGAATACACTACTGAAGCCGAGGCCACTGAACCCCTAAACTGTGATGAGTCTTTACCAGTGGAAGTGGCCTCCCCACCCCCAGTGACAGCAGCCTCTAAACTCACAGTGGCATTGGCCTCTCCACCTCCCTGTGAGGGGATTAACTACACATCGCCCAAGGAAACCATAATGGCGTCCCCCAAGGCAGCTGCCAGGCAAAATGGCACTGACTCTGTTCAGGACCTACCCCACCACTCCGCTTTGCTTCTAGACCTGTAAGTAGACTCAAATCCCAGCAGGCCCCCACAGGTAAGGTACAAAGTGTGACCTGTGAGGAGGTATGTTCCACTCCAAAACAATGGAACATACCAATTTATCCGGACAGAAATTCGGGGACCACGTGTGGGAATGGATACCGAGGGTGTGGGATAATGGTGGGCGGGACATAAAGTTGGATCAGGCCACGTTTATCCACATGGGCTCACGAAGCAGAGATCCTGCATTTAATACTGCATCTCCAGGATGCAACAGGTCTCTATTAGAATTAGAAAGGTCTCTGATGTTTGATTGGACCTAAACGTGGCTCACCACAAACAAATTAGAAATGCTGAACCTGCCTTGGTTTAATATAGAGGAAAGGATCAGAAGGCTTACAAGGTTGGAATGTTCGAGTGGATTTGTCATTTAAGACCTGCTCACCCACCCCGGGAGGGTCCAGAAGACGCACCTTTCACCAATGCTGTGAAGAATCAATTTGTGAAGGGAGCACCAGATTTCTCGAAGAGTTCTGTGATTGCTCTTCTCGGTAGGTCGGACCTTATAGTGGGAACTGCAGCCATGGAATTGGAAACCCTCGATGCGATGGTAGTATTTGGGTACCAGCGTGGCAGAGGCCAGTGGGTGGCATTTAATCACCGAAGGCAGGGTGTGACTAAGATTTCTATAATGGACAGCAGAGGTAAAGCAGCAATCAGAATAGCGGGATTCATGCAGACACTGCAGCATTGGCCAACTGAGCATGATGCTACTAGAAGTGAAATAGGAAGACTACTAAACTCCTAATGGATCTGTACAAGCAGAAATATCTAAATCAAGTGAACACAAGTCTTAAGTCTAACCTGAATCATTAAAAAAAGAAAGTCATGGCCCTTCAATCATTTTCAAGGTGTGAGCCAGTTCACAGACCCAGATCCACTTGGAAGAAGGGAAGCCCAGGTCCCCTTCACGAGCGAGCTTTGCACACTGCTGAAAATTTATAACTCTTGGTCTTTCTTTCTCCTAGCCTTCCCCGAAGGGACCAATGGCCTTTGACAAAGGTAATAGTACACTGAGATATAATCAATCTTTTTGGGGACTACAGACACTGACTCTGAACTGCTGCTAATTCCAGGAGACCCAAAATGTCCACTCTGGCCCAGAAGTCAGAGCAGAAGGCTCTGGAGGCAGGGAGATCCATGGAGTTCTCGCTAAGGTCTGATTCACAGTGGCCCAGTGTGTTCCTAAATGTATCATGTGCTTACGTCCCCAGCTCCAGAATGTGTAACCGAAATAGACAATCTTTGCAGCTACAGTTTCTGTGACCTGTGGAGTGAGGGTCAACTGGAAGCCATTAGAACTGCTTCTACCTAGGAAAATAGTAAACCAAAAGCAAGACCACATTCATGGAGGGAGTGCAGACTTTAGTGCCACCATCAAGGACTTGAGAGATGCAGGGGTGGCGATCCCTACCACATCCCCATTCAGCGTTCCCATTCAGCTTGTGCAGTCGAGAGATGAGTCTTAGAGCATGAAAGTGTGTTACCATAAACTCAGCCAGATGGCAGCTCCCCTGCAGCGGGTGTGCCACCTGTAGTTTCATTGATCGAGCAGATAACACCTCCCTTGATACCTCGTATGCGGCGATTTTTTTAAAAAATTTTATTTATTTATTTGAGAGAGACAGAATGAGAGCACAAGCAGGGGAGGGGGGGTCAGAAGCAGAGGGTGAAGGAGACTCCCCACCGAGCAGGGACCCCGACATGGGGCTTGATCCCAGGACCCCGAGATCATGATCTGGGATGAAGGCAGATGCTTAAGTGACTGAGCCACCTGGGCGCCCCACTCTGCAGCTATTAATCTGGCAAATGTCTTTTTCTCCATCCCTGTCGTAAGAACAGCCAGAATCCGTTTTCACTTCACTAGACCAGTAATACGCCTTCCCTGTTCTACCTCAGGGGCGAATCGGCTCTCCAGCCCAGGCTCATAATTTTGTTTGCAGGGATCCTGAGTATCTTCCCTTTCCACAAGATTTCACACTGGCCCATCACGTCGATGACATGCTGACGGGACCTAGTGACAAAGAAGTAGCAACAGCTCTAGACTGATTGGTAGTGTGTGTATCTATACCGTATGTTGGAGGTTGGGAAATAAATCCAACAATTATTCAGGGGCCTTCTTGGTGAATTTCCTACGGGTCCAGTGGTGTGGGGCACATCAAGATAGCCCTTCTGAGGTGAAGAAGACGTTGTTGCTTCTGGCTCCTCTTTTACCACAAAAAGAGTCACAAGGCCCACCGGGCCTCTTTGGGTGTGGGAGGCAACATATCCCTCATTCCTCCGACATACTGCAGCCCATTTACTGAGGGACCCGAAAAGCTGCTAGTTTTGAGGGGAGCCCAGAACAAAATAAGGTTCTGCCGCAGGCCCAGCAGGTCTGGTGGTGCTCGAGGTGCCAGTGACAGCTAAGGATGCTGTTGGGAGCCTGTGGAAGCCCTAGAGGTGAATCACAGCACAGGCCTTTAGGATC